TTAGTGTGGAAAAAGGATTCAATTTTTGTACAGAGCTGTCAAGGTTGTATAGATAAAGGTTTTCATAAAAGTGTCTTAATGAAAAACAGGATAATTTTGTTAACGATAATTGAAAAATGTCTGGTAGTGTAGAGATAAGCGTTCCAAATGAAACTCACGAGGATAAATCCAATCACCGCGCGGCAGTTTAGCACGAATTTGAACGTGTCCGTACAAAAACGTGAACGACGGCTGACTATTCACACGTCCTGATATTATAGGCGGTAGAATTTGGGCACCCAATCCGGTTCTTTTGCAATCTACGGTTCCAAGGTTACCCGTACATCTAAAGAAATATCAAGCATTTTCCAATGTTCCATTGTGTACAACATTATACCAATTAAGGTTGTATACCTTTCTAAATTTAAAGTACCGTCTCCTATGAATTCTTCTCCGTACTTGTCCCTCATAAGAATTGGTCTAAGATGTAGAACGCCTCCCTTGGCTTCCACGTTGTCGTTAGTGTTCATGTATACAACAAACTCGGTGGCCTAAAATGAAATAACAGACGCTTTATAACGAGAGATATTTTTTTGTTTTGTTTTTAACAAGATCCTCGATTTAACCCTTTCGTGACCAGTGAGGACACGTGCACTCACGTTCATAAGTATTAGGATACTTGCTGAATGTGAAGCGTATTGAAATCTACTGAATTTTACTGAAATCTGTTGAAATTTATTCAATTTTACTTCAACATACTGAATTCTACAGACGTCTACTGAAATCTACCGTACACGGTATATGTATAGCATCCTGAGGCGTCTAAAAAAGGAAAAGCTTAGGAATGTTTTTAATAGGTAACTAGTAACCGAGAAGTTTTGATCTCTTCAAAGAATATAAATGTAACTTCCAGCTTTTCTCTTCAATTTTTAGAAAGTGAACATATTGTAAAATGAAGGAGTTATTGTAAAATCCGCCATCATCAACAAGGATTGGAAGGTCTGAAATAAAAAATTGTTTTCATTTATGAACAAAAATGTATTACCTACAATGTAGCGTACGATTTTTTCAAAAATTGTAATTATTATAAAAAGAAACTCCTTTTTACCAAAAAGAATCAAATTTAAACGTTTCTAAAAAATTAAATAATTGACATATCGAAGAAGTCGTAGGCTACATTGTACGTAATACATTTTTATTCGTAAATCAAAATGAATTTTTGTATTTCAGACGTTCTGTAAATGATGCTCTAGCAAAAGAAATGTCGCCAATCCTCCATTTTGTAATATTTGTACTTTTTCAAAATTGAAGAAAAAAGCTGAAAGTTACATTTGTATCCTGTGAAAAAATTGAAACTTTTCATTTAGTAGTTACCTGTTGGAAAAAATTTCCAAACTTTTACTTATTTCTGGACGATTAAAAAAATGAAAAATTGCCGATGACACTTACGGGGATGTCTACGAATCGTTCGACGATCAACCAACGACTCGTATTAAGCAGATTGAAGTCCTCCTCGAAGATTAATTGCCCTGGACAGGTATTTTGTCGTTTCAACTGCTGATTTGCCCCCACAGTCTGGAATACTTTCGTCTCTGATGGTGTTTCACAGACTTTGCTAATTATAACATTATTGTTCACAGGACTTCCGTCGTAATTGTAGAAATCTAAAAGAGACCTAATACGATTAAATACACATGACGAATTTTTAAATAATTTTTAAATAATTTTTTTAAATTTTAAACAAACCGTTAACCACGTATTCCTTATTGAGTAAATTGTAACCGAGGCCATCGTAAACGACGTGGATCCAATAGTAAATTTTATCGCCTCGTTTCAATCTCGTCGTTTTATCTTCGTATGTCCAGCGGTCATTCTTGGTCTTTATAATGTCCCTGGCAATAAATCCTGCCTCGAGGCCGTTGAAATCTTCGTTCACTTTAACGTGATACGCGACCAAACTGATACCATCCTCGTCTGAATATAAAAAGAGTATCTTTTGTGTTAACAATTTCATTAAAATTTTGTTATTTATGTTTGTGAATATATTCAGATATATCTTTAACCCTTTGGCTACGACAGATTTTAATACGTAACGGGCCGCAAAATTTTTTCTTTCCATCGCATCGTTTTGACATTTCTTTTAAATTGCACGAAGCGGAAGTGGGCAAAGGTAAATAATTAAGGACTAAATTACGGTGGTAAGTGTGCCAAAAGACGTCATCAGCACAATGCGAGTAAAATTTCAAAGCGCTTATTAGACGTTAACAGTGCTGTGCTAGCAAATCTTCCAAGTGCTTATAGGTGCCAGCAGCAGTGAAAAGGTTCAGACACTTTTAGGACGTTTTTAAAGCCAATGCATAGTGCTTGTTCGCAGCGTCACGTTTCAACGTTCGTTCAGACGTCTTTTGGACATCTTTAACCCTTTGCGGACGTAGGACTAAAAGTGTCAAGTCGAAGTACTGATTACATGTATAACACATAATTAGGTCACTACTTCAGTTTTTCTTTTTTTAATTAAATTACAGGTAACCCTCGTATAACACGGCATTTCTATAACACGGTTTCGCTCTAACACGGTTCGAGAATTGGGGAAAACCCTCGTGCAACACGGTTTGAGAATTAGGGAAATACCCGAACAATTATGAACATAATAAAAGCTTTTAAAAGCAAAAATTCACCGTGCTCGACAGTTAACGGGGTATTTTGCTTTTCAAGGTAAAAAAAGGAACCTTTTTTTTGCATTCCTTACAGTCTGGAGAATATGTCAAACGATTTTTCGAAATTGGATAAGTTGTAAGAGCTATGAGAGTTTGAATGACTCAAGACCATGCCTGACGTAGATCTTCGAAAATTTTTAAACGCGGTTTTCTCGAAACCAAGTTTTCCAACATTTTCCTTAGGTTTTCTCGGAAACTATTCGACCAATTGCTTTCCTCTTCATATTGCATACTCAGAATATGTGCCGTCGTCGTTCCAACTAAAATCGGGTCAATATTTTCAAAATTTCGCTCTCTTTAGCACCTAAAGCTTACGAAAACTGCAGGAAAAAACAATAGCGACATATTTAAGGATTAAAAAGACCTTTGGTTCAATTTTTTTCGGCCAATAGTGAAGTCAGTAGCCTTGGGACAAGTCAATAAGGATATTCATACGTCACTGCATATAACCCAGAATGCTCCGAACATTCTAAGTCTTTAATATCGATTTTACACAGCTAAAAGATGAATAAGGGTGTATACAAAGTACCAATATTGTAATTTTTCTTGTCGTCTAGAAAAGAAATCATGAAATCGGCTGAAAAATCTCTAAACCCGAATACCCACTTGAGGGTTTTTTTTTTTTGGATGATTTTAGTAAGATCATTCCAATATCCGGTTTTTGGTGTGTAGTTCTGAATCATTAATGAAAATACTCGGAATATTCGTGCATTCATTAAATCGATTTTCATGCTTACGGTTCATGCTCCATCTCTATTAATAACATTTATGCTTGTAAGAGGAATGCTTTGTTCCTGTATACTATTTTAACAGTTACGCACTTCATGCAAATTTTATTTGGTGTGAATAAATTTGAATATAAATGAACAAAATGCGAATCTGTTTGAGTAGCGTAAGTAAACTTCTTTATTTCCCTCTTATTTATGTATACTAATTAACGTTAAGTATTATCTTGACCACACGTTATTAACATTATGTGTACATATATGACTTTATGAGGCGAACACGGTATTTAAAATTACATTTTAAAAGTTTTACTTGAAACTTGTTTTTATTTCGCATTTTTCTGAAAATGTGAATAGCCATGAAGTTCGATTATGTTCTTAACTATGTCTTTTAAGTATTTTTCTCATCGCAACATTTCTTCATCTTTAACAATAAAGATAAGAATCATCGAACACTATTTTATTTGTTGTTTACTAGTGTCCATACAATGTACAAATTCAAAAGTATAACTTATCGACAAATTTTAAAAATATAACTTATCGACAAATTTCAAAAATATAACTTATCGACAAATTTCAAAAGTATAACTTATCGACAAATTTCAAAAGTATAACTTACCGACAAATTTCAAAAGTATAACTTACCGACAAATTTCAAAAGTATAACTTACCGACAAATTTCAAAAGTATAACTTATCGACAAATTTCAAAAGTATAACTTATCGACAAATTTCAAAAGTATAACTTATCGACAAATTTCAAAAATATAATTTATCGACAAATTTCAAAAGTATAACTTATCGACAAATTTCAAAAGTATAACTTATCGACAAATTTCAAAAGTATAACTTATCGACAAATTTCAAGAATATAACTTACCGACAAGTTTTCAAAATTTGTGACTTATTTTTCTTCGAAACCCTTTCGTAACCAACAAGACGTTTATGTCCCATTTGAATAAAAATTGATCACAATTTAGTATATTCAAATCGTATTAAAAAAAATATATAATTTGGTCACGAAAGAGTTAACAAATAGCTGCACTCGAGACAAAGGAAAACTCCATTTATATTTTTCACAATCCCACATTCCTTCGACAATTTCTCTAGTAACCATGTCTGAATAAATATTAGCTTTTAAACGATTTCCGGGTCGATTCAAAGCACGACGGAATAATAAAACGCGCTCTTTATGCAGAGGCAAAAGGCAGGCAATGTGAGATAAAGATGGTTTACTTACGAGGAATGGACATTCGTAATCCTTTAGGAGAGAGAGGTTCCACGCTGGGTGTAGGAGGTATAAATTGAGCTACATTCTCTCGAACAATTATGCCAAACAATAAAATGAAAGTGACAAAAAGCCATTTGATGAGAGCGTTCATGATGCGTAAGGTTTGACGTTGCTGACGGCTCAAGCGACACTGAGAGACGTGAATTGGCCACCGATCGTTACAAACAGGTTTCTGTATAAATACATATATCTATCTCGATAGCGCTAGTGGCTGTGAACTGGTCCTGCACGGTTAGACGTTTTGTTCTCAGAAGCAAAAAACTTTATTCGCAAAATCGACGTGCGTAAAAACCTGTGGAAGAGAAAGATCGATGATCGATGGATCATTAAATGTCCTTCAAATTGATGCGCCAATGAAAGACTTGCGTGGCATCGCGTTATTTAATAACGGATTTGATTTCAGTGTTGCGTGTTAAAACTTTATTCGTTAGCCGTTATTAGAATATTCGAATAAAATTCGTTATTCGTTGTCCATTATTACAAATAAAAGCTTATTTTAACGCCCAACACTTCAATTCTTTATTTGTTTTTTTCTTTTTTTATTCGAAATAATTATCATTTTAGGTTCATTTTGGAGAAAATCTTTGTACTCGTCTTTTTGCACTTTCGTTCTTTTCAGATCTTCAAATGTTACCAGCAAACCTTCAGGAATTTGTGGGTGTCCAGTTTTAAAAGGGTAAACATTATTCGAATAACGAATAAATTGAATTTATTTTCCTATTCCATAGAATTTCTGCGTTTTCGTCGATTTTCGAATGCGATTACTGCTCGATGCTGCAAATTGTTCGTTATTCGAAATAATTTTTGCCCAACATTGTTTCACTCTACAGAATTTCAGAATTCTAATCTTGTGAATCTTTTTTTTTATTTTGTACATTTCTTTGTTATTAAACTCTTTGCGATATTTAAATAACAATATTCACATAAGAATTTTCGTAGATTTTTAATTATTTTAAATCTTCTGATTGGACACACTTCGTCAGGAAAATATTGTCGCGATGTTATCTTAATCAGAATAAAAAGAGTTTACGTATTATAGAAGAAAATGAACGTATAACGCAATATCTGTGGATTTTCCGGTATGTTGCAAGTATTGGAAAATTCATATGGTATACAAAAGGTACAACATATGGCCAATAAATTGTTTCACAAGATATTCTTTATTTACGATATTACAATCTAAGTATTATTAATATGTTTGGCTTTTAGCTTGGTTTGAAATCCGGTTCATGTTTCGATTTATTTTTATTGCGGTAATGATACAAGAATGCAGATAAAACAGCTTTGATAGCAAAAATTATACAGTGAAACGAAAAATGTTCGTGCACTTAAAAAATAGTTTCATTATTTTATTTTTTTTTTGGAATAATAGTTCACTGTGTATAACATTGTATAGGGTTTGTCGAAATAATTGTTCTAATTTTCTTTTGAACTGCATTTTGCATTTTATTGCATTTAATTTTAATATAATTTAATAAAAATTTAAAACAATTAAGATTAAGTGGTATTTGAAATATTAATTAGTTAAAAGACTACTTAAAAAAGTGAGAGTACGTATAGTATTTGAAAGTAAATAAAAGTACTGTCCGACAAATCTAAAGTGAAGCCTCGACGTCACGCAGGGCCTAAAAGTGGGAGATGTAGGGGAAGGCTATCACACTTATTCTTCTATGAACAATAGATGACGATCGGGTCACGTTTGAACAGTCGGTAAACAGATGAGCAGTCGATAATTGACCGGAATGATATTTGCAAAACAAATTAAGTTTACGTCGCGCAGACACCATAAACAGGCGAACAGATGCCTGCGCGGCGCCAAACGACGTGCATCATGGTAAACATTATTTTTTTATCCCATGTTCCCAAAATTTCTCTATTATTTCAATAAGCTTATTTTACAGGTTAAAATTCAAGCAATCCAATGGTATTTTTTCAAAATTATTCTATGAGTGGGAACAGTATCAAATTAGCAATTGAAATTTTAGCAGCGATTATTGCTATGTTTATTGCTATAATATGAGCCCAAGGTCTAAATATTATCTTTAAACAAAGCCGAAATATTACGGTTAAAGTGACGACATGTCGTCTGATTTTGTCAAATTTTTCAAAATTTTAACATTAAATAGTGGCTGTTTGATGGCTCTTATTGGCTGTAAAAAGTGCCTGTCGGTCTGTGGTGGCACGCTATTTTTCATTGCAGCCAGAAATTTTTTAGCTCCTTAAGCAATTTTTTAATGCGCCGAAATCTACTTTTATTATTCAGGAATAGGAAAATAATATTTACATTTTAGTTTTCTAACTGTTAAAAAATATTAATACATTTCCTGAGGCTTCCTTTACAATAAAAATTTATTGTGTATAAGTGGCTTAGAAATTAACGTCTGCGCTATTAAATATGTCTTACGCGCCAACGTAGGTAAGAGGACAAGGCGACCAAATAATTTTTAGTTTTCCGTTCTTTTATCAGCGTGTTACATTATCGACAGCTGACTTAAATTCGTTTGTCTAAACTATTTACCTACAACGCAACTTCCCCTCAAGGGCCCGTAGTGTAAGACCCAAGAGTAGTGGGGATGACCTGAACCGCCTATTTTGCTTCCATTTTGCTAGGCTGTGACGTCGAGGCTTCACTTTAGATTTGTCGGACTATACTTACTGACTTATTCCTCAACTTCCCTTTACTCAATGAAAGCATTGCGACGTTCCAAGGACGATGATAAATTTAGAATTCCAGTTATCTCCTCTTCTGCAAGAAGTACATAGGGAATAAGAAATATTTTTACGACCTTTTTAATCGACAATTTAATCTATCGTATGAACCGCGTAAAATAAAGTAATTAAACAACATCTAGGGACTTTTTTCTCCGTTTAGTGTCTGAAATTAGTTGACTCTATCCTCTGTGGCCGCCATAAGCTCCGACCAGTTTCGACGTTTTCGTGCCAAGTTTCGTTTAGTTATCGTGTAACAAAGTACGGTCTTCGTGAATTCCACGACGAAAGTGTTGCTGTTTCCCGGATATCCAGCCGTGAGTACCATTTTTGGATATCAATTACTCGTATGGATATTCTTATTTTCAATCTACACTACCGTAAAAGACGTTGAATATAGCGAATGAATTATTCGCTGAAACGCGATTAATTACATATTTAAATGACACCAAACTTTTGTCTCAAAACAAGCAATAAAATTTATATTGCGTTCATCATATTATTACGAATGCAATTTTGAAAATTATGTTTTTATGAATTTCAAATTACACTTCGTTGATAATTATGGCGATCACATTCGGATGCTTGTCAAAGCATATTTCTGAAGTTCACGAATTTGTATACATAATTAAGGCGTCTCGAAGATTTTAGATACATTTATGACATATCTAAGGAAAAATAATTTTATTCCCATTTTTCTATGTTATTGCATTGCATATCGAACAAATCAATGCATTTTATTTGACCCAATTTGACTTCATAAGCTTAATGTATTGGGCATACCCTCCTTTTGAATACAAGCTTTATAGCATAACACTTGTGCACCACTTGCACATCATGTAATGAAAAGGTGTATCAGATGTGTTGCAACCATTTTGTATTTAATCATATGAATTACAATAAGAGCTATGATAGGTCCATTGATTGCTTAGGTTACTTACAATAACTATGGTCTATATTTGAAATACATATCTATTTTAAATCATATGTTATGTTAGATGTAATATCTTGATATACAAGTTACATTTTTCTACGATTATGTACTTGATTACACTATAATCATTATAAGCATATACCAATTATACATATTTGAAATCTGCTATATATATACATATATTTCTTAACAAGTTGTTTAAGATGATCATACTGCAGTGATGTTCTATATAACTTCATGCAGATCTTGTAATAGTTTTATTAAATTGTCGTTCATAATTCTATACCAGCACCCATTTTTTTCTGAATCAGCTATTTTGTTCATCAATAACTATACCATATATTTGTTAAAAACTATATAATTTTAGGTTAATTTGTAATTATTATAGTTTTCTTTACTTTCAGCTTTAAAGATTTTTATTTGTTTTAAATGAGAAAGAATCATTATTTTACTTGATGTTAAAATGTGGTACCTTTTGGAGAAAAGATTTATGTGTATTTAGTTTTAATATGAACTTAAATCTTTTCAAGAGTTTACATTGGTACTTCAAATGTAAACATAAGATTGTTGATTTTATGGTTTTTCCTTTTTCTTACATATTATGAAGGTACATCATATGGTTGTGATATGAAATATTTTGTAATATAAATTTTCATGTATTATTCCATACGTATTACCTGAAAATATGTGAATATTTTTTAATTCTGTTGTAAGATATTGTTTCTTCTGTGTATATACCTTTATCCATTGAAAAAATGTACTATATCCTAATTTTATAACTTCTTAATCCTTTGCATTTGCTAACTTAATATAGTAGTGATGTAAGAATTTGAATCATTCAGTATATTTAGTCCTACTATAATAACTTATTAAATGTAAAGGATTAATTAATAACCAATTTAACTTACCACATTTTTATGTTAGTGTATTTATACCAATACTGTTGGATATATGTTCATTATTTATATTGAACATTATATTATTTTGTTTGGTAATAATTTTTTTCATAACATGTAATTCTCTCTACAACCATTTTATGAGAGTTTCTATTTCTTTAATTCTGTACATTTTAGCTGTGATAAAACAGAAACAAAAATTATTAAAGTTTAAAAAATATGTTTCTACATATTTCATTACCTTAGTATGTGTAGTGGTTTATTAAAAAAAAATTCTAGGTGATTTTTAACTCACAGTTAAAACATATTTTACATTTATATATATGGTTTTAACTTTCCTGTTTCTTTAAAACAACCTCTATATTTCCTAAAACTTGTAGATGTTATTAAACTGATGTATATACAATTTTTATAAATACATTTGATTTATTAATTCCTGAAAACTCTTTTGTATTTATGTATGATTGGTGATTGTACCATGAAAGAAAAATAAATAAATGAATAGAAAATTTTTACTATACTTTATGCACATGTGTGGCAGTAACTCTATAACAATTTTCTTTGAATATAAAATAGCGTCCA